GCTCAACTTTGTCTTAATATTTTCCCCCTGTTTAATGTAATATTTGGATGATACTCTTGTTTAGATAAGGTGTTTTCTTCTTCTGATCTTAATAAGTGCAAGAAGTATCATCCTGGAAAGGTGGATTCCTTGTCTAAGCATCTGGCAGCTCCTACATTGTGTATCTGAAGTTGCAGGGAAGGGTACCTGGAAACTAAGAGGCAAATACTCTGCCCTTCTATGCATAATACCGTAAAGTGGCTCATACATCAATGGCCAAATACTAATCACATAGCCACATCTAGTAAGGGAGGCTTAACTCGTTTCATTGAACAGCCTGTGCCTAGCTAAAACATTAATACTGTAGAAGAAATATAGATCATATATTGAAGGATAATGAGCTCAGAAGATAATCATAGGTTTCTTGCTTTAATTTCTTAATATACTAAGCAATCAGGATAGTTAATGAAATTCACTTCACTTGTTTCCTGTTTTTTCATTTTTTTTACTTATTTGATTTATTTGAAAGGTGGAAAGACAGACAGAAATCCCCTATCCACTACTTTATTCCCCAAATGCCCAAAACAATTAGGGCTGGTCCATGCTGAAGCTGTAAGCTAGGAATTCTGAGTTTCCAACATGGCAAGCAGGACCCAAATACTTGGGCCGTTACCCCTCCTCCAGTGCCACGGCTTACAAGGCTAATCCTCTGCCTGCGGCGCTGGCACTCCAGGTTCTAGTCCCGGTTGGGGTGCCGCTTCTGTCCCTGCTGCCCCCTTCCAGTCCAGCTCTCTGCTGTGGCCCAGGAAGTCAGTGGAGGATGGCCCAAGTGCTTGGGCCCTGCACCCACATGCGAGACCAGGAAGAAGTACCTGGCTCCTGGCTTCAGAGCGGCGCAGCACACCGGCCATAGCGGCCATTTAGGGGGTGAACCAACGGAAGGAAACCTTTCTTTCTGTCTCTTTCTCTCACTGTCTAATTCTGCCTGTCAAAAAAAAAAAAAAAAAAAACCTTCATAGAAAAAACTTGTATTATGAAAAAAACTATTCATAGACTCAATTTGCTTTGTACCAAAATAAGCTTTTCTTTTAATTCTATTTTCTGTTAAGTGTTTCTGAAAGTGTTCTCATATTTAAGATTTTTGCCTGTGTTTATTAAGAATATATTTGTTGATGCAGACAGTGGTAGCACTTTGCATGTATGTAGTCCTGTGCAATTTTAAAATCATTTCACTACATTATTTCACTTGAGAATAGATGATAATTAGGAGCTGACTATATTTTAAAAAGCAGTAGATATTAACTGTATAAATAGAAAAGATCTACAAATGGAACAATGCAAGCTTCTCTTAATACTGCCTAAATTCTAAAGAACCAACAGTGAGGCAGAGAATAAAGTAAGGATTAGGGGGTCTGCAGGGGATTGCAAGAAGATTTTTGCTCACATGAACCCAGGGAAGGATGCTGTCATCCTGAGATGCCCAGGGAATAATGGGGCCGCAGGCTATGTATAGTTGCCAGCACTTTCCTGGTGTCTAGAAATTCTATTATTGCAGGGTTTAACCACCTGACTTGAATTTGCAGTAAAAGCTCTCCTGGTTGTTTAATATGATTTCTCTTTATGAATTCATATTTTGGTTCCTTATTATCTATGTATGTCAATTTGATAATGGCAGGTGAGTCCTCTCCTGGGAAAAGGAATTGCTAAAAATACAGCATATCCTGCCTTCCTCGGGCAGCTGCTTCATATATGTCCTTATCACAGTTCTCTCCCAGGGCTGAAGATCTTTTCCAGGACACACAATAATTATATAACAGCACTCACTCACCACTCAGAAGTACGAAGTGCCTTTGTGAGAAAAATATCTAGTAGGCTGAGGAGATTTTGCAAAAAGTGGCACTCACAGTGGTGAGGTGTTACCAAGACCATACAGTTGCTCAAATAACAGGACCCTTTGTAAATTTTCCAATGCAAAATATGCTATTTGTTTTAACTTCTCAGATCTAAGGCTGGGAGCCTCCATTGTGTTTGTGTGGTGGATCTATAATAGCAACTTAGGACAGCAACCCTAGATCACTCCAGTGGGTTTACAGCACCCCTCCACACACACTCCTCCACTCCAGCCTGCCACTGCTTCCTTCCTCCCCTGCCACCCCCCTACACACACACACACAGAAGTAAGTGTATTGCAGTTATACCTGGGAGAATCTGCTGACTTCTCTCTGATACCATAGCTGCACTTTACAAAGTGAAGCAAAGATGAGAGAACTGTCTGACATGTTTACACTGGTATCCATGTATCATCTAAACAAATTATCCTGGATTTTGTGCATTAATCAGAATGATAATTCTTGCAAATCTACTTTACTTTATATCAGTTTTTGGATACTCTGGATACGTAATTCTTAACAACTTTTTCTGTTAGGATAAATATATTTATATGTACAATACACACTAAGGATAACAGAAAAATATCCAGAAATTTCATTGAGAAGTAGGTATTGTGGCTCAGTGGTTAAGTTGCTACTTGGGATGTTTGCATGTCATATCTGAGTGCTGGGCTTCTAATTCAGCCTCTGTTTCAGATCCAGCTCCCTGCCACTCTGCACCCTGGGAGGCAACAATGATGGCTCAAGTATTTGGGCTTCTGCCACCCATGTGGAATTCCAGGCTCCTGGCATCAACCTGGCCCAGCACTGGCTGTTGTGGGCATTTGGAGAGTGAACCAAGGGATGAAAAGATCTCTCTCTCTCTCTCACACATACACACAGCCTTTCAAATAAAGAAATAAAAGCTTTAAAAAACAATGAACTTCTCTGAGTTTTTATCATTAAGAGTGCTAGAAATGTGAATATTGGAAATGACTACAGTTGAAACCCACCCCACTGAGTTTGTACTGCTTGTCATTCCATGGAGATGTCATATATTATTTAGGCACAACGGTGGCACAGACAAAGCAATGTCACTCTAAGCACTGAAGTTTAAAATAAATGCTTTAAAATAGTTAATTATACTTTACCATACAGGAAGAGAAAATGTTTTCCCAGGTCCCACAAAATGCATACTGAGTAATTTAAACCTTTGTAAAGATCCAAAATTTGATGGCCTATTTTTAAGAAACTGAACTGGGATTTAAAACAAGCTGTCCACTTCCAGAGCCCCAGTCTATACTCTTAGAAGGCATAGTATCTGAAGTATAAAGTGGAAAATGGGAAAAATGAAAGGAAGAGAAATAGTGAAGGAAGATATAAGATAGCAGATAGTAAACATGTTAAAACTTACACAGCTAGCACAGTCTGGTCCTGACTAAGTAAAAGACAGGCAAACTTTACAGAAAAAAATAAAATAAAATAAAGTATACAGTAGACCCAAATATATCTGAGAATTTTCCTCCTTTCTGCCAATCACATTATAAGAGCTCAATGAGTATTATATCATTGTTAAATCACAATCAGGTTATTCAAGATCTAAAAGTAAAAATATATAAGGTTTTGAGAAACTATTTGTGATGAGTATCTCTATCATCTTGGGTGGAGAAGAACTTTCTAATAAACAGGGTATCAAAACTGGAAACAATATGAGCTATTTTACTGAAATTTAACTTCTAAAAATGTAAAACTGTGCATCCTCTGAGCATCCAGAGTCTCATAAATAATCCTAGAAACCCCCCCCCCCCCCCAGGCCCACGCTGTGGCTCACTAAGAATATCCTCCGCCTGCAGCGCCGGCACCCCGGGTTCTAGTCCCTGTCGGGGCACCGGATTCTGTCCCGGTCGCTCCTCTTCCAGGCCAGCTCTCTGCTGTGGCCCGGGAGTGCAATGGAGGATGGCCCAAGGACTTGGACCCTGCACCCCATGGGAGACCAGGAGAAGCACCTGGCTCCTGGATCAGCGTGGTGTGCTAGCCGCAGTGCGCCGGCCGCAGCAGCCATTAAAGGGTGAACCAACGGCAAAGGAAGACCTTTCTCTCTGTCTCTCTCTCACTGTCCACTCTGCCTGAAAAAAAAAAAAAGACCCCCCCCCCAAAAAAAAACCACATTTAATTCTATAGCCTTAAACAAATATGGCTGAAGAATATAAATAAGGGAATAAATTCAATGAAAAAGCATTATTCCGCCATGACTTAAATATCTCTAAAATAGTAGCAGCACCAGGATGAGCCTCGCCAGGCCAGATTAGTCCAGTATACAAAGAAGATCATGTTTCTGTAGAGACAAAACCTGCCAGCAGCCTTAATCCCTTAGAAAACCTCAGACCACATGCAGCCATTAGCCAAAGTAAACATGAAATGAGAGGCAGGGTTAGCATTGTCAGTAAAGTCTGCAAAGTTGGAATTAAAGCCATCAGTTTCAGTAAGTCTCAGAAATGACAGCCAAACCCAAACACTCGGTGACTTTATGATTTTGCATTTGGACCAATGCAAGGGTCTTAGGAATTGTGAGACAGATAATTGATGTAGCATACACAGATACCTTATTATGTGGTTAGGTTTTTAAGTACTTGTTCAGCCTAAGTGAAATACCATGAAGAGATGTGGGATTGAAAACATGTACACAAATCAAGGTCAAATGTCAGCCCTGAGTAGCTTCTAAGAGATTTACAACACCCCTAGCAAATGTAATCCAGTAGGTGAATCTAGTGATTGAATTCAGCGTGTGAATAAGGCCAGCTTTAAAAAAATACAGTGGAGTTTAATTTTTGTCCTGAATCTACAACATCCTACTTGCAAACTTTCTCCCTTTAATTAGCACTCACCCCAGGTAATGAGATATGTCCATGTGGATATGTGTTTTACATGCCCTCGTGGTCTTACATCTTTCTATATGGTTTGAATTGGGGTGATTGCTGAGAATGCATCCTAGTGAAATTGGCATTCACTCCCATGTATCAGTCACAATGACATGTTAAGTTGGTTTCTTAGAGTCTTGTATCACATCCTTATCAGACTCCCTGGTGGAGACTCCATAATTGTTCACCAATTATGCATCTCATATTGTCACAAAACACAGGGACAATAACTTACATAATTCAGGTTCAAGAAGGATGCCGTATCTGCTTCAGACTGTCCAATAACAGGGGGGATGTGGTTGGAGTATCTGAAAGTGGGGGCAAAGCAGTCATGGAGTGATCTGTACTGTCTCCGTCTTCCCTTTGCTTGGTGTGAGGTCACATAGCTGTTTCCATTGAATTAAGTCAAATAAGGAGAAAATTGCTCTGAACCCATTATTTCAAGTTAACAGATCATATTACAGCTCTTTGAGAAACCTTTTTTTCTGGTTGCTTGGGTATTCACTATAGGAGAAAATTGCCTTGGAAATGATATATAGAGATCTGTAATTGAATATTCTCAGTGTCTATGTAGGGAAAAGGAGAAAGCTCTCAGATAGGTGGCACAAAACTGGGCATTATACTCTTTGCCCTTTTCCCCTGATCAGAGGCTCTGTGGAATGTACCATACAACTAAAAAATGGGATGGCTGGGAAGGGTGTATGTTTATCAGACCCAGGGTCAACTCCTTGAAAAGTTGGGAAAAGAGTTGTGTGACTGTGACCTCATTGCTCCCAAAATCATGGTCTGAGTGCAGGCTTTTTTCTCACATGTAAGACAGCAGCATCCCTACAAAGCTGCACAGAGAAACTTTGACTTGGTTTCTGACTCTTCTATCTCCTTAGCCTGGCCTGGAATCCTGCAAAGTAGTGTCTGTCTCTGTGTTCTTCACTTCACTTCACTATGACTTCCTCCCTCATCTTCTCACACTTCTTGTCCCTCTCACCACAGGTGTAGAAGACATAGTGGCCATAATGATTCCTGAACCCAAAGGAAAGGAGATCGTGAGCCTGCTGGAGAGAAACATCACCGTGACAATGTCCATCACCATTGGGACCCGGAACCTGCAGAAATACGTGAGCCGCACCTCGGTTGTGTTCGTCTCCATCTCCTTCATTGTCCTGATGATCATTTCCCTCGCATGGCTGGTCTTTTATTATATCCAGAGGTTTCGATATGCAAATGCCAGGGACAGGAACCAGGTGAGTAGACAAAAGTATAAAAAACAAAAACAATTGTTATGAAAGCAATATACAATACTTTATCAACTTTGAAAATCACAAAAAAATACTAAGATCAAGACAAAATTACCTCTTCCACCCCAACTCAACATAAATACTGTTAACAATTCTTGTTTAGCTTCTCCGATATTCTCCAAGTATACATATTTTGATGTTTTAGTGGGATTGTTGTAGATAATTTGCTTCACATCACTACTGCTCATTTTTTGGATAATCTATGTAATTGGGTGCATACAAGGGGAAGAAAGAGAAAACAAGCTGATATTATGCTAATAGTGTTAACATCAGAGCTAGTATTTCCTCCTTGTGAACAGATGAATAAAAGGAGATACACATTAAGGCTATTTTTAAATGCTATTGATTTTTAACATATATACACATGGTATAAAATGCAGAAGGTATAAAATTGACATAAATTAAAAGTAATTTCTGATGCATCCTTCTCTCTCAGGTGCCTGTCTATGGACTATCTTTTCTTCCAGGGATATTCTATACACTGTAAACACTTGTGCTGACACAGATTGGGTGTCTCTTATCCAAATACCTGGAACCAGAAGTATTTCAGATTTCAGTGTTTTGTTGTTTTTTGTATTTTGGAATATCTGCATATTTGCACACAGTGAGATATCTTGGGTATGCGACCCAAATGGAAACACAAAATTTATTTATGTGGGGGCTGGCATTGTGGTTCAGAAATTTGAACCACCACTTGCAACAACAGCATCACATATGAGCATCAGTTCAAGTCCTGACTGCTCCACTTCTGATCTAGGTCCTTGCAATTCACTGGGGAAGGCAGTAGAAGATGCCTCAAGTACTTAGGCCCCTGCTACCTTTGTGAGACACCTGAATGGGGTTCCAAGCTCCTTGCTTTAACCTGCCCCAACACCTGCCATTGTAGTCATTTAGGGAGTGATCCAGCAGATCTGTGCCTATATCTTTCCTCTCTCTGCAATTCTGCCTTTCAAATGAAGAAATCGTTGTAAAAAGAAAATAAATTCACTTAAGTGTATACATCAGCATGTAGGCTGAAGATAATTTTATACATTTTTGTAGTGTGCCTGAATGTTGACTGGAACCTTTCACATGAGGGTGAGATATAGAATTTTCCACTTGTGCCATCATACTGGAGCTCTAAAAGTTTTGGATCTTAGAACATTTCAGATTTTATATTTTCAAGTTAAGGATACTCAAGCTTTATATATATATATATATATATATATATATATATATATATATATATATAAATGATAGCAATCTTTACTATGAATCCTTGTCTCTCACTTCATCTTGGAGATTCATTCATATTAGACAAGCTAAGCTGCCTCCTAATTTCTAATGCATAGCATTTCATTGTGTACATGTCATGTTTATTTATCACTTTCCATTAATGGGCATGTCTTCTATTACAAAAAAAAAGAGCACATGTGATACTAATACATGGTGAGTATATCTATCTCATAAATCCTGGAAATGTAATGGCCAGAACAATGGTATGTGTATTTTAAATTATGACAGGGACTAGGGCGAGCACCGTGTCTCACTTGGTTAATCCTCTGCCTGCGGTGCCAACATCCTATATGGGCACCGGTTTCTAGTCCCGGTTGCTCCTCTTCCAGTCCAGCTCTCGGCTGTGGCTCAGGAGGGCAGTGGAGGATGGCCCAAGTGCTTGGATCCTGCACCCACATGGGAGACCAAGAAGAAGCACCTGGTTCCTGGCTTCGGGTCGGCACAGCGCCGGCCGTAGCGGCCATTTGGGGTGTGAACCAATGGAAGGAAGACTTTTCTCTCTGTCTTTGTCTCACATTGTCTATAACTCTACCTGTCAAATAAAAAAAAAATTATGATAGGGACTACAAAATTGTCTGCCAAAAAAATGTTGAACCAATTTCTACTATAGGCAGTAATGTTGTCTCATCATATCCTAACCAAATGAATGTGTTACAGCTTTTTTATATATGATTTGATAAAATTAGAAGTGATATCATATTTTTCTTATTATAAGTAATAATTGAACATTTTTTCAATACAATAGAAAAAGTGAAATATCTGTTGATATCATTTAACCACTTTCAATTGAGTTGGTCATTTTCTTTTACTGTCTATAAGATTTTTTATTAATTAAAGAAAGTAACCATTTTTGTGATACAGGATTCGTTTTTCCTCAGCTCACTCATAATTTGCTTTGATTTTTATCTATTATGCTTTTAGCTATGCAGAAATATTTGGCTTTTTTTTTTTTTAAACTTTTATTTAATGAATATAAATTTCCAAAGTACGACTTATGGATTACAATGGCTTTCCCCCCATACCGTCCCTCCCACCCACAACCCTCCCCTTTCCCACTCCCCCTCCCCTTCCATTCACATCAAGATTCATTTTCGATTATCTTAATATACAGAAGATCAGCTTAGTATACATTAAGTATGGATTTCAACAGTTTGCTCCCACACAGAAACATAAAGTGAAAAATAATAGATGATTTTTTAAAATGATGATGAAATCAGAGCAGACCTATTGTCATGTTTAATCCCAGTGAGAGTCAAGTTGGGAATTGATAATTTCTTTTTTTTTTTTTTTTTTTTTTTTTTTTACAGAGGATCAGTTTAGTATGCATTAAGTAAGGATTTCAACAGTTTGCACCCCCATAGAAACACAAAGTGAAATATATTGTTTGAGTACTCGTTATAGCATTAAATCTCAATGTACAGCACATTAAGGATAGAGATCCTACATGAGGAGTAAGTGCACAGTGACTCCTGTTGTTGACTTTACCAATTGACACTCCTGTCTATGGCATCAGTAATCTCCCTATGCTCCAGTCATGAGTTTCCAAGGCTATGGAAGCCCTCTGAGTTCTCCGATTCTTATCTTGTTTAGACAAGCTCATAGTCAAAGTGGAGGTTCTCTCCTCCCTTCAGAGAAAGGTACCTCCTTCTTTGATGGCCTGTTCTTTCCACTGGGATCTCACTCGCAGAGATCTTTTGCCAGAGTGTCTTGGCTTTCCATGCCTGAAATACTCTCATGAGCTTTTCAGCCAGCTCCGAATGCCTTTAGGGCTGATTCTGAGGCCAGAGTGCTATTTAGGACATCTGCCATTCTATGAGTCTGCTGAGATTCTCACTTCCCATGTTGGATCACTCTCCCCTTTATTTACTCCATCAGTTAGCGTTAGCAGGTACTAGACTTGTCTATGTGCTCCCTTTGACTCCCAGTCCCTTCACCATGACCAACTGTGAACTGAAACTGATCACCTGGAACAGTGAGATGGCATTGGTACATGCCACCTCGATGGGATTGAATTGGAATCCCCTGGTATGCTTCCAGCTCCACCACTTGGGGCAAGTCAGCCTGAGCATGTCCCAAATTATACATCTCTTCCCTCTCCCATTCCCACCACCATGTTCAACAGGGATCACATTTCAGTTAATTTTCAACACTTAAGAATAACTGTGCATCAATTAAAGATCTAAACCAGTCATATTAAGTAGAACAGACAAAAAAAACTACTAAGAGGGATAATGTATTTAGTTGTTCATTAACAGTCAGGGCTATGCTGATCAAGCCACCATTTCCCATAGTGTCCACCTCACTCCAACAGGTTTCCCTCTTGGTGTTCAGTCAGTCGTCACCGATCAGGGAGAACATATGGTATTTGTCCCTTTGGGACTGGCTTATTTCACTCAGCATGATATGTTCCAGATTCCTCCATTTTGTTGCAAATGACTGGATTTCGTTGTTTCTTACTGCGGTATAGTATTCTAAAGAGTACATATCCCATAATTTCTTTATCCAGTCTATCGTTGATGGGCATTTAGGTTGGTTCCAGGTCTTAGCTATTGTGAATTGAGCTGCAATAAACATTAGGGTGCAGACCTCTTTTTTGTTTGCCAATTTAAATTCCTTTGGGTAAATTCCAAGGAGTGGGATGGCTGGGTCGAACGGTAGGGTTATCTTCAGGTTTCTGAGGAATCTCCAGACTGACTTCCATAGTGGCTTGACCAGTTTGCATTCCCACCAACAGTGGGTTAGTGTCCCTTTTTCCCCACATCCTCGCCAGCATCTGTTGTTGGTAGATTTCTGCATGTGAGCCATTCTAACCGGGGTGAGGTGAAACCTCATTGTGGTTTTGATTTGCATTTCCCTGATTGCTAATGACCTTGAACATTTTTTCATGTGCCTGTTGGCCATTTGGATTTCTTCTTTTGAAAAATGTCTATTGAGGTCCTTTTACATAACTGAAAAATTTTAACATTTATTTTATTTATTTGAGGGTTAGAGTTACAGAGAGAAGGAAAGCCAAAGAGAGAGATCTTCCATCTACTGGTTCACTCCCCAGATGGCCACAAAGGCCAAGGCTGGGCAGATTCAAAGCCAAGATCCAAGAGCTTCTTCTGGGTCTCTCACATGGTTACAGGAGCCCAAACACTTGGGCCATCTTACACTGCTTTCCCAAGCCATCAGCAGTGAGCCGCATTGGAAGTGGACATCGGGACTCAAACCGGTGCCCATGAGCAATGCCAGCACTACAGGCAGAGTTTTAACTTACTACTACACAGTGCCAGCCCCATAACTGAATTTATTAATCTTTTTAAATAGCTCCCAAGTTTTATGTAAGATTTTCCACATGTTAAGACCATAGAAAAACATTTTCTCATTTTTGCATCAACTACATTTTTGCTTCCATTTTTATGATTAAATCTTCAATCTGCAGTAAATAGTGAACAAGAGGGCCTAGATAACTTTTTCTTCAAATTTTGTAATTGGTGTTGATTAAGTAGTTCGATCTTTCCACGTTCATATACAGTATACCCATTCAGCATATATCAGATACCCATATGCACTTGGTTCTGCTTCTGTACTCTCTAAACTGTGCTGTTAATCGGTTTGACTGCTCACACTCCAGGACCATCTATTTTGGGTGGTGCTCTAGAATTATAGCATGTCTTATATGTGTTCATCCTAACGTTATTTCTCTAACTTCACTTTTTTCATGTTGAATCAGTTTTTAAATTTGTAAAATAATTTAAGAGACATTTATATAAAATTGAAACTGAATCTTGATGAAGAATGGGATGGGAGAGGGAGTGGGAGATGGGTGGTTGTGGGTGGAGTGGGAGGGAGGTTATGGGGGGAAAAGCCGCTATAATCTGAAAGTTGTACTTTGGAAATGTATAGTTATTAAATAAAAGTTGAAAAAAATAAAACTATTATA